GAAACGAAGCCGTGAGTGAAAGGTCTGGGTACGGGAGATCCGGAGTATCGCAACGACAGGTTTGATTATTGGGAAAGCCTCGACCGAATTCCAATTTCTAAAAAATCAGCCACTTTTGGAGTTTCGATCAATACAAAAGCACTTATACTTTTGGTGGTATTCTCTCATCTTTTTAGAACTGAGTGTAATTCTCCCTAACGAATCTGTATTTACAAAGTATTGGAACGCGAATCGTTAGAATGTCTTAGGGGTTGAGGGAGCGTCCAATGCTGGTCGAATCTAACGCCAACCAACGTCAGAGAATACCCACTAAACCACGTCTGGAATTTCACACAAAAAAATAAACACACCAAGTATATTTTGAAACAAAGAATGTTCCTATTATCATGAGTGCGAAAACACCAAAGCTAACTTCACGACCTGACTAAATTACAAAAATTTCCTTCAATCACTCACAAGAGAATGCACTACAACTTTGAACTCACATCAAACGCATCTGCCAAAAAGGTTTGTAATAACAGTACTAAAAATAAAAGTAATAATGTATCACACACTTAGCCCTAAGAGAACATCAACCACGGATTGAACTAGGAAGTGGATTATAGGATCAATGAAAACACCAATAACTCTAACATTATTCAAAAGCTTACAACAAAATAACAACAAATACGAAACAAGATGCACTTCCGTACACCCTGCTTCAAAAAAAAACTTCACGGGACGCACACCCATCGTTTCCTGACTTCTTAAAAACTTGTTCCCTTTTGGAGACAGAGACAAATTTATGGGCAACATTCTATCCAAAACACGTCTGTTTTGTCCTCAGTTCTGTCCTCTAAAACCAGCGGCAGCTTTAAGGAATGTCTTGCGCTTATTTTAGAAGCTAAAAGAGGTTGGAAGTTCTAACGTAACCATAGTTTAGTCACTAGAACTAAAGCAAATAGTCATTAAAGGAAAGGTCTTTGCAGTAAGTTTAAATAAGATGAGGCTTATCAACCAAGCAACATTAAACTGATTTTTCTCGTAACCGAGGTTTAAGTTTACGAAACGTCTCACTTCGAAGATAAAGTGGACATCACGTTGTAGAACTCAAACAGTTCGTCCACAACCTTTGTTACAGATGTCTTGCTTGGAATGTTTAGTTTCAAATTGGGGAAAGAGATTTCCGATAAAAATCCATAACAAAAACTTCATAGGAGAATCTGTTAATCTTTACCAAGATCTTGCATTTAATTATTTGGAAGCAAGTTCGTCTTGCTTTTGTGAATATCAGTGATGAAAGAAACGTCAATAGTAAGCAAGCTAGCTGTGGGGTCTACTGTGTGACAGGGAGCTCAAGAAAAGTGAAAGATCTGGGCTGTCTGCTGTGTTACGACCAACTGTCCACAATCACGTCGAGGTAAATTATAAAGCTGGTTCTTTCTTGTCGTTTCACGGCACCCTACCAATGTCTTTTTTCTTCTATAAAACTAGCGAAGCTTTGCTCGTCAGGTCAAGAACCGTCTAAAAACCACCAAGTCAAAGTTCCAAAAAAAAAACTTCATTTTTTTTCTGTTCGCGGCGTCAAAACCGTTGAGACCCGTCGTTTGTAAATGCGGGTGAAATTTTTCTCCTCTCTTCTCGTTCCACTCTCTCCTCTCTTTTTTCTTCAAGGTTTTAGTCAGCACCACACCCTCAGTGTGGGGACAATCAAGGGTGTGGCTTAAGCAAGGTGTTACCTTCTGGTTGCCTTGACGACGGCTGCCAGGTGACGACGTGCCCCCTTCACAGCCGGTAGGCTAGTACTTCAGTACTGAGAGGCATAGTTTGGTTGGGAGTAGTCTGGTAAGGAGTTCATGTAGCCTCCCCTCTCCCCTTGGTAGGTAGAATCCTGTGACAACACAGCATCTGCCTGGGATTTCAGGTTGAAGTCGTCTCCAAGGTAACTATCCTGAGATAGGTCCGGCTGCGACAATGGCTGTGAGGCCATGGGCTGACTCATGGACATGCCACCCTGAGTGAGTGGGCCCTGGGACAGAGGCTGGGAAGCATCCTATTGCAATGGGGAGAAAAACATTACAATAAGAAATCCACTCAACCCTTAAATTCTGAAGAGCTTGGCGCGAATTCTCAAAATGGGTGACAAAACATTTCCTTCCTCTAACACTGGAAAATTTGTGAAATATAGAGGTCATATTCTTCACTTTAGATTTCGTTTTCAAATTCCTCCCTGACGTTATGTCAGAGAGTGTTTAAAAAATTGAGAGAGTGAAAGTCTCCATCGCTTCTGGGAGTGGAGAGCTGCTCCACGGGTTGTTCAACAGCCCACATTTTTCTGGTTCATCAGTTGCACTCCGTGTTCCTCCTCTCCATTCCTCACTGTCCTCGATCCTTTGTAGTTTTATTTCCACACAAGCAAATTATTTTAAAATTTTCTCCCATTGCAAGGCAATAAAAGTCTAGTTTTTTCGATACAACGATTTCAGACTGACTTGAATCAAACTAAATATCACGTTCCTTTGGCGCAGATTGAGAATCAAGCTATCCTAAAGGAATCATCCCCATTTAAAGTTCGTCAGTTCATACCTGACTGGCCTGGCTGGCTGGCATGTGAGGAGCATACGCCATTGGTTGCTGGTGATGATGGTTGCGCTGATTTCGCTGCCGAGGCTGCTGAACTGGTCGGCCATGAGGCATTCGACCGGCAAGAGGCTAAAACATAAAGAAAAGTTGTCAGTTTAAACTCAGGGCACGACTTCCACGTCCAAAGCGTGTGGCCATCAGACCTGATATTTACAAGACATTAGTGGAAAATTGTATGTTGGTGCAAAAATTACGGGCTACAGCTAAAGGAATACTCATAATTAATATCTACCTTACAAGGTCAAACCTTTAAACATGTTTGAGACAAGACCTCAACCCTCCCCTCACCCCAGCTGTAAAACGTAACGCTGATACGTCGCAGGACTTTCCCTAAAACCTTAAGAACAGATTAACCAAGTGCACTCACCTGCCCAAAGTAGGAGTGGTGTGGGGGAGGCACCGGAGGAATAAACATCCCCACGGGTACCGGGATCCTTGCTGCAGCAGCGGGTGGAATGGTTCGCTCGGCTCCGATGTAACTGAGCCGGTCATGCGTGTGGAAGTAAGTGTCATGGAAGGCTGCAGGATCCATGGGTGCCTGAGGTATCTGACGGTCATACACACTACCGCGGATCAGCGCTTCACGGGCGTCGAACATCGTGCTGCTCATGAAACGGCCACCCTGAGGAGGGAAACAGCAAGGTGAATACGTGGGCTGGGCCAGGCTGTCAATAATTTTGAAAGTACATGGCACATGAGAAATGGAAAGTGGACGCCATGTTGTTTCACCAGATTTCAGGCACGACTGGGAACTATTCAGTCAACAACGTTTGCAGGAATTAAATGAAAAAGGATGTTAAGCGAGAGAATGAACAGGTATCTTACCGGATTTGTACGGTTAACAAGTTTCCTTGGCTTGCTAAACTGAATCATGCTTTCCTTTAAATTGTTCAGGGGTCCTGCAATGCAAAATAAGCCATTCATACGTCAATGTTTAATTCTCGCAAAGTGATCAAAAGTTCTCCCTTCGGGTTGCTATAAATTTCCTTGTAAAATTGTTAAGAGAATTTGGTCCTACATTATTCAACTTAAAAAACCCCTCACCCTCCAGCTGGTGATTTTTTTTTTGTTCCCACGACCTGTTTGCGAGATTGTGAAGCGAAAACGCGATGAGAAGTTTCATTCTGAGCACTTTTGAGGTTTTTGGGGTTAACTCACAGATATCCTGACTCTCACCGCACGACGAATGACTAGCCGCATTCAATGAAAATGAAGCAGAATCAAAGTTTTCAGCTCACCTTCCATCAAAGCCTTATTTTCTTTGTAGTAATTCAACAGATGGTTCCACAGAGGTTGCTGAAGAGAAAAAAAAAACCAATGCAGTCAGTTGCAGTAACTTGCAAGCTGTACTATAATTTACGTATCAAAATGAAAGAGAAGATTAAACTACGTCAGAGTGTGAAATCACATTCAAGTTCAAAGAGTCGATTAGCAAATTTAACTATCTGTAGCAGCAACTTACCCTGGATAGGATCTTGGGGTTGCCAATGACAATGATTCCATATCTAAAATGGAAGAAGGGATAACGTTAAACAATGAACAATTTAGAAACCTCTCACATGTTTTGTTCCTTAAACTAATAAATATAATACATACTTTGCTCGGGTCAAAGCCACGTTCAGACGTCTCGGATCATTCAAGAAACCAATTCCCTGCAGATCAACGACAAGAGACAGAAGTTAGGTAGACTACCTTCAACTTTCAATGGCCACCTCTTCAGAAGTGATCCTTATTAGGATATCATACACTGAAAAGCCCACCGGTTACTGCCTTGTATATTTAAGGCAAACTACAAATTTTCTCTTTGTTCAAGAAGTAAAACTTGAGATAAGTCATCTTACTTATAAATCTCAAAATTGCTTCGCTTTTTGTTCAAAGTTGTCGGCCTCGGTTATTCTGAATTAGACATAAAAAAAAGCTGATACCTGATGTTCGTTGGAGCGTACACAGGACAGGATAATGTAGTCCTTCTCCCGGCCCTGGAATGCATCGACACTGGCTACCTCGATTTCCTATGGTCAGAAAATGTGTGTTTTAACACTTATCACTGGTCTCTCGTTCATGAAATCCTGATGTTGTAATCTCAAGAGTGTAAATATTACTAAACAGACTCGAATAGTCCCAAATACATTGTATTTACTATGGGATGTTTCCTCCTAATTACCTCGATTTTTGCGCTCCAATAAGAAGATGTAGGTTACGGAAAAAAATATATATAAAAAAAGAAACTAAACAAAAAGCAAAACCCAAACGTCATAGAATAGGATGTTCAGGTACTACCTTAAGGTCCAAAAAACTCTCCCAATCCATCGGACTAAGGGGCGAAATTCAGTAGCGTGGATTGACACTCTCAACTCTTAAAGCACAACTTACCAGATAAAGATTGGCATGAAGAGAGCCACTAAACTGCATGTACTGTACGATGTAAGCTCTCTGACCCTCATACGGAGTTATCACTCCAATCTGCTCTGGTTTCACGCCAGCACGGAGAAATCGAGTGGCAATCTTCTCCACGTTTGCAGCTTCAGTCCTGTGCAAGAAACACATACGTGAACAAGTAGCACTCCAATTCTGATCGAAAGTAAAATAGCGCTCGTGTTTCCTCTCTTTTGTGTGTAATAAGCTGTCCAGTAAGGGAATAAAATGATGAACAAAGCATCCTTCCGGTTACATTATTGGCGTTTTCAGTAATATTAGTTTCATTCGGCTATCTTTGCTCTTTCCCTCAAGGTTTCCCGTACACTGTTTGAAAATTCTCCAAATAACTGAAGTTCAAGTTGTAGAAAACCTGACTCGCAACGGTAGATCACTATTGCATCCAATGACTCTTCTACATCATTCTTACTTGCAGGATTATCACAACGCAATTTGTTTTGATGCGAGTGCGTTACACTAAAACGTTACAACAAAAAACCTAGCTTTTTTTACCCTTTACGGTGGCCAATTTACGTTTTCTCCTCAACTCAGTTGTTAACACTAAATTACCTGCTATACTCTCCCACCGACGCAACATCACAGTTTCTTTAGAAACTTACCCCTTTTATAAAGAACCTACCTGTTGAGGTAAGATGTTCCCGAGGAAGCGATTTCCTCCTGACCCATGGTGGCATAAAAGAACATTGGCTTATCGGGAACAGGCCAAGGGAAGTCAATCCCGGTCTGCTGGCGTTCAGCTGCGAGAGAAATGGTACGAGAGGAAGCTTTACACGAGGTACAGCATTTCAAGATAGTTGGGATTTGCAGACTTAGCAGGAATGCCAACTTAATGGACTGGATACTTTTAACTGAATTAACACGATGCAAGATAAGTATATTACTGTGTAACTATCTTCAAAAATATCAGTAATGTAGCTCAATCATTTCAATTGACTAACACTACCTAAAACTCGTGCTCACATTTAACGATTCTTCCCCACTTCAACCTTTTGCCCAAAGGTCTTGAGGCCGTGTCAACCCTTCACCCCTAAGAATGACTATTCTCTTATTTCCCCTTACATTTTCACACTTTGACATAACAGGAAATGCATAAGGAACAGTTTGGAAAATATGAAGATAGGTGAACTTACCAACAGTGACTCCATTCTGAAGAGTTCCGTCATAAAACAGATTGGATGGGAACTCGCTCAGGGAAGGGTGCATACGATACTGGACTTGGAGACGAATAGGACGGATCCCAAGAACCACCAGACGTTCAAACAAAGACTGAGACAGACCAGCACTACACAGGATGAAAAAAGAAAAAAAAAACAGTCAGATTAAGCACCACCCTGCTGTGGCTAGCGTAACAAATAGAACTGGTTGTTGCACTGATCTGATAACAAGAACCATCAGAATTGTAGAAAATGTTTCAGAGTTGTTTTCCTGCCAGAAAAGTTGTAATGATACCTTTACATTTCCATTTTAGTTTTGTAAACCAGAGTGCAAATGAAAAAAACTTCATGTTCTCTGCTTCAGCCCCTTTAACATGTGAATATCAATAAAAGAAATAAGTTAAAAGAGATTTTCAGACACTTACTTTGCTGCTTTCTTGCACATCACAACAGGACCAAGCTGACAATGATCACCAACAAGGATGAGCTGAATACAACAAAAAAACCCATGATTGTTAACAAAACTGTCCAAAACATTTCATGTCCATTCACAGGACCCACAAAACAACTGGAGTTTTGTTTAAAGCAGCAGTGTTCAAATAGAAACTTTACAGAAACTGGCATTTGAAAGAGGTTTATTCATAAAGAAAAAAAAAAAAAAAACGTTTATGATCCAACCATAATTAGCATGATCTAAACCTGTGACAAACCTGTTTGCAGCCAAGAACAACAGGCACCATACACTCTGGTTCAGTGGCCTGGGTTGACTCATCAATCAGCACAGTACGGAATCTGAACTTGGACAGGCGAGGGTCACCAGCACCAACACAAGTGGTACAAATCACATCTGCATGCTGTGGAAGAAGGAAAAGCTCCCTTGAGTGAAAAGCAAGGAGATCTGAGCTCCACAACATAAAATTGATGACATAGTATCAACTCTTACACCAAAGGACAGCTAAGAGCCATGTTGATTTCAAGATAATTTTTAACATTGAGTGATTTACAGAAGGGTACAAATAGCAAGGAATGTCTTAAAATTGCCAACTTTATTTAACAACTCAGCTTAAAAAGATGTCTGTCACCCCAAACTATAGCTGTCCATGTGGAGTTACTTTCAACTACCCATTCTGGCTATAGTTTCATGTTTGATTCCCCAACTATGTGAAATAGAATTTAAGATACCCACTTCAATAAGAGCTAGAACTTAATATTGTGGGACTAACAAGGAAATACATTTTCATGTATATATACTATTGAAGGCTTCCAAAATTGATATGTATTTGTATATCAGAGTGAATAATCATTTCAGCTTCACTCCCCTAGGAAGGTTTAATGCTGAAAACACCAGCTTTACAAATTTTGTTCATGTACTTCATCAACTTTTAGTTGATTATCAAATAAGTGATAGGTTGCCACTGTTTGAAAATGTACAGTTCCTGTAACAACTGAGTAATGCATGGTGTTGAATTGTAAATAGACTTTACCTGGAGAAGCTCACGTTCACAATTTCTCTTCAGAGATCGGTACCTCTTCTCATCAGCGGCAGACAGCTCACCCTGCTCATCTTTGAGCTGCTGCAGCTTTTGGAGTTCAGGAACACTGTCCATGTTACGCACTTGATTGTGCAGTGCAAGGAATGCCACAGGAGAGTCAATAGCCTCTCTACTCTTGGCACACAGTCTCACAACCTAAGGACAAATCACTGTCTGTTATCAGTCTCTCCGACAACTAGGAACTGGAGAGGTTTATTATTAGTTTTCAAGCAGAAACAGTGAACAAAAACATCCCTGTCATTCTTTATAACCTAATAACCCATGCATGAAGAATTCTACATTTTGCGCTAAAGCTGTGATCTTAATGGAGGAAATTCACATGTGATACAATGGCTTCAGAAAAACCAAGCTTGATAATATTAATCAACCTGCATAATTTCAATGGCTTTTTCTAACTCTGTGGACAGTTATTCTCTATATACTACATACTGTGATTTTACAAAGTCATTGCCTGTAATGAGCTCATTGTACCTTGAGTCCTGTCTTGTGGATTTTCTCTGTCAACTGGTCCACTGCAATGTTACTTGGAGCACAGACAAGAACTTGACTAAAAACCAAAAAAAATGAAGTGTTGAAATAAAGCTTTTACTTCAAGAAGGACAACCATTCATAGCTGCGAGGATCACCTATATTTGTTTATTCTACTGTTGTGCACATTTATGATTTTCATATATCTACAGTCATTAGTCAGAGAAATGTTTTCTTATTGTACCTACCCATTGTTTTGCTTGGCTAGGTGATAAACAACACTGGCTGATGTGACTGTTTTTCCGGTACCCGGGGGTCCCTATGTGAAAAAATGAAAAATATAAATTTGGAATCATCACAATTTACATGTAAAAGTTGTTTAGAAGACAGAAAGCAACCTGACACTTCACTAACCTGGATAAGACTAAGTGGTCTTTGTAAGACAGTCTTGACAGCATACACTTGTGAATGGTTCAGTTCTGGCAGACCTTGGGCTGAAAACCTACAAAGAGTGATTGTCACCTTCAGTATGTAAAGCAATGGCAGATCACTTGCAATATGACAAACTCTTAGGGATACAATCATGACAGTACAGTGAATACTCTAAAAACCCTCTCCTTTCTCTTGTCTCCTTTCTCTAAACAAATCCTCTAGCACTGATTTTCATCAGAGCTCATATTATTTTGTGTTTCAGCATAAAGAATATTAGAATTTCAAAGCTTTTATTAGTTTCTATTTCAAATATTGTAAATTTCTAATAAAGAATTTCATGGCTCCATGGGAAAGCTCCTACCAGTCTCTAATAAGTCCCCCCACCCCAATAACTCCCTCATCAAGAACTCCTAGAAAGTAATAAGCCCTATGAGATCTGTAAGAGCATTTCAGATAATTCCTCAGCAAATGACCAAGACCTGTCATAACCAATACCATCTCAATCACGTACACAACATTCTTGAGTACCAACCTCTTAGGCAGCTGGCATTTGACAACCTGTTCTTCCACCTCATGACCCAGCAGCTTGTGGTAGATGTAGCCACTGACTGATGTTTCATCCACAGCAAAGGTCTTCATTCCTGTTTGCATTCTGATCATAAAGTAGACACAATAACATGAGAATGACAAAAGTAAAGCCACACACAGACATCCTCATGATAAGTCACAACTTTTGAGCCTGTCAGGCAAGTTTACAAGTTGTCCAGTATTTTCCAGAGAATTTTATGTAGTCAGCCACTGAATGAAAATAATAAGTATTTCACATCAGGAGAAGTATTTTTAATGCTTTCTCTCAGAAAAGTAGCTGTTGCTTCAGAAATCTCACAAAAGAATGGTTATTTGACCTTGTTTAAAACTTTTTTAAAACCACTTTAGTCAGATGAAAGCCATGGTCTCAGAAAAGAGAGCAAAATTAAAACTGGTTTGAAACATTAAGAACCAAATCAAAGTTTGAACTACAACAGCGACAGGTTCTCAGGGTTAAAGATGCCTTGAAATTTTCACCTGTCAAATGAGGTTGATTTCCACACAAAGTCCACAACAAAGTTATGAGTACATTCAACTGGGGCACCCAGATTGCTGCGCAACTCAATCCCCACTTCCTCACCAAAGTCTGGCGAACACAGTCAAGGAAATTACAAAAGTATCTGCTGGCAAAACATATGTTTAAGAAACAGGTCCTTCATTACATATACAGCTTTTCAAAAGCAAGGATACTGTTCGGCACTTTGATCACATGACCAACACCCTGCCAAGGTTTGTGTAATTCCCCAACATATCGCAGGCGGAGTTCATCACCAGGCATCAATCTCATGTCATCATTTGTCTTGGGAAAGGAGAAGTATGCAATCCTTTTCTTGTTGAGACCAATGTCCCAACGAACAACAATGTTATCTTGAGTCTGCGGAAACGGAGATTTACATGTAATCAGGCAATAGTAGGGAAATGTCGCTGTAAAGTACTGATAGATGGAAGAATTTTAAGTCAAAGTATCAATTAATTTTTTAGAATTGGTAAGTCTGCTGTTGAGCTAACTTTACCTGAGACTCTTTCAGCTTCTTGTCATAATCTGCTTCCAGTTTAACCAGTGGGCCAAAGATGTTTTGATATTGGTAGGCATCCTCATACCTGAACAAAATATAACATGGGAAGGGTGAACACCTTTGTCAATAAAGGGGAAAGATGGATTGAAGGATAAGAGGTACACATAGAAGGAATTATAATTTTTCATGCTTTACATCAATTTAATAACTGCAGCCACAGACCTGAGAAGAACTTGTTGTGGTTCATCATCAACTCCTGGTTTATCCAAATCTTCTAACTTAGCTTCAGGATTATCCTATGAAAAACAACCATCACACAATTAAGCCAGAGAGAGAGCCCAATTACTACAATAAAAAAACCACTAATCAACTACATTCATCCACAAGGTGGTAATGATACATTTGCATTGGGAAAAAAATTCAAACATTACTCGAAAAATGTACAGCACAAACCTTCCACAGTTCTTCGAGCTTGTTAATCTGTTGTGCAGAGATCTGTGGGATGTAAAAATGTTGAATGAGTGCCACATTCATTAACTGGTGGACAACCTATGTGGTTTAAAGAGTGTTTGACAACTGCATCACTAAGGGGAGATCGAGTGCCTGAAACATCCAGGAGCTTCCACTATTGGCAGCCAGCTCCTAGATGGAGACTTCTCCCGTGGCTTGCAAATCTTGGCGACCCAGCCATGAGCCCTAACACAGGAAAGGGAAACAGGCACCTGTAACAGTGAATAAACAGTGGAAAAGGGAGGGAAGGGGTGGGGAAACCTGCCTAGATGATGAGCTAACACTCCTCACAATGCTGCCAGTTCATGATCAAAGCAAACGCAAAAATGCCTCAAATGAAGAGCACATGGAATTCTGACACAAGCACATATGCAAAACACTGATGCTCTTTGTTGTTAACTCTGTTAAATTGAATAAAATTGCATTTTAATCAAGGGTGTCACTAACTTTTGGCAACTGGGCATGCTGAATGCAAAGCTTGATCACAGAGCCTTATTCCCTTTCCTCAGGTACTCTAGAGACACATATACCCTTCCCTGTGACATAATGAAATTCCTCAGAGACAGGGATGCATTTCCCTGAACTACCACACCTTAGTAGCCAAAAAATAGGTACAGAGTAAATTGAACCAGTAAATCTCTTCATTTTTGATAATCAAATATATTTTTAGTTTTGAGAAATCTCATAAGGAAAATAAGGGATGGAAACTGAAACATTCTTCTTCTGGTGGATGAGCAGCACAAAATTATTTTCACAACAACTAAATTTTCCCAGTGCTCCATCATTAATAATCAAATATTAATGTCTACCTGTCTGGCTCGCAGCTGATCCTCATCAGGTGGAACTTTAACAAGCCAGGACAAGAAGCACCTATCATTAATCAGAGGCTGCCACTGTGCCTGGTCCCTAAGTTTGAACAAAGCAAGTGTCTATATTACCAGATAAACAAAAAAACATAACAGTTCACACTAAATAGTTTCCACATTAAAACAGACCTTTAATTTGCCCAACAAGTTTATTTTAAATCACAATTATGTCACTAGTAGAGTGCATTAAAGCACCAACAAAAAGTGAGAATATCAAAGCAGGTACTGAATAGTAGGAAGGCCATGTTCAAGTTCCTGTTCAATTTTTTTTTTAATGAGAATATTATACATACCAGTTCATGTCCTTGGAGTTACTCTGTGTAGCACAGGGTTGTCTGAAGAAAGATGCACAAGTGGCAAAAGTAAGCAAAAGGAACCTTGTTGTAATGATTTTGAACTTAAAATTTACTAAACTCAAATCATAATGGAAAGAATAATTTTTTTGCAAGAAATTAGAAAACTTTGATAGCAGAACCACCTTTATTCTGTCAACATGTTCCCTTGTATATCAAATTTCGAGGAATTACTCTTTGATGAATTCAAGAAACAATTCTTCCTAGATACACATATATAAAAGAAGCTTTACAGACCAACTAACCTGCACAGTAACACCACAACTGAATCAGCCTTGGCAGGAATAAATCCCAACAAGAAGACATTGCGGCAGCCACAGTTGTAGCATTCCAAGATTGTCTCCCCCAAAGGACCATCTTTGTGAAGTGTAACCTCTTTGTGCTTGGCTCTTACAAGGTGGTTTACAATATGACTGCAAAGAAACACATACAAATTGAAGATAACTTCCTGACTCCATATTCAAGTTCAACCTCTTGTTAAAGCATTGCTGCCTGTTCTTTGGCAAGGAATGCAACTCTCACAA